CATTCAACGTAGGCCCGTCTTGAGGTCTGTATAGAATCGGCCACATCTCGTCATAGGTGGACAAAAAATAAAAAAATTATAATTAATGCAATATTATCATACCATCTGGTCAGTCAACATTCTAAAATAAATATAACTCGACCAGTCTTGCTCTGGGAGTCCACCAGGTATATCTGCCAGTATCTCCTGCAGGGGCCTTGTCCCGTCACCTTTCTTCTCCCACCACAGGTCAGCCTTCCTGTTCTTCTATGTCACCCCAAGTCTCTTGATCGTATCCGCCCTAAACTCCTCTCCCAGTATAAATTTATTCTGTAATTAAAAAAATAAAGAATTATATTCATTTCGCTAATATAAATAAAAAATAAATTAAAAAAATAACAAATTATAAATAAACAATTAAACAATTTAAATAAAAAATATATATTCATTTAACTCATTTAAAAATATTATAAATAAAAAATAAATTATATCAATAACAAATCATAATTAAACAATTAAGTAATGTAAATAAAAAAATATTTTTATTCAACTAATTTAAAATTATTATAAGTAATAAATTAATGAAATAAATAACAAATTATTATCAAACAATAAATTAATTTAAATAAAAATTATATATTCATTTAACTAATTTCAAAATATTATCAATAAAAATAAATTACATCAATAACAAATTATAATCAAACAATTAAGTAATTTAAATAAAAAATATACATTCATTTAACTAATTTAAAAATATTATAAATAAAAAATTAGAATCAAACAATTAAATAATTTAAAAACAAAATATATATTCATTTACTTAAATTAAAAAATTATAAATAATAATTTTATATTACCTTCATCATTTCCCAACCTTGTTGCTTCTTCTCCTGAGTGATTTTCTTCTAATCCTTCATATAAATGGGGAACAAGGTTTACTGCTGACCAAAAAAGCGCACATACTTACTATACAGCTTGCCACCTTTCTTGGTCAGTTGGCCTAATTCATTCAGCGACACAACTACCCGTCCGCTCGTCGTCATAGACAGCTCTCTGGCTGTCAGCCTCCTATAGGACCTGTTCCCCTCAGAGTTTGTAAAATTTAATTAATAAATTAATTATATATTAATGAATTAAAACAATTTCTATATAAATTAAATAGTTTCCAAATTTAAAAAAATTAAATAAATACTTACCCTCAAATTCTACCTCAAAACAGGTCTGGCGTTTGGGAGCAGGACACTACTCAATATGGGGATTCTCATTCCCCTGAACCTGCTCCTCCTCCTCCTCACCAGCATCATCATGGGGTTGTTCATCCCCCAAAAAATGAGTCTCCTCAGTCCGCTGGATATCATCATGCTCCATAAAGCTCAGGATATCCTCCTCATTTAGATCGTAGTCATGAATGCTCGGAAATGGCTCACCAGCATCATGACCCCCATCACCACGATCCTCGCTAGGTCATTTTACAACTAACAATTATTCAAAATAAATAATTATATCAAATAATAATTATTTCTATTAACTCTAAATAATAATATCAAATAATATTAATTGAAAAACAGATATTTCTATATTTAAATTTACTGTTAACTCATAAAAAAAAAACTACTTCTATTAACTCTATAAAAACTAGCCTACTATAAACAAAATTTCTATTAACTCTAACTAAATTAAGCTAGTCTATCAAACTTAATATAAAAAATATAATAAAATAACAAATAAAAACAAAAATTATTCATAAATAAATTACTATTCTTACCTGAAAATATGGATTTGCAACTGGATTTGGATATGGAAATACTTTGTAGAGAGAATTCAGCAAAGCTCCGCTTCAAAATTCGCCAAGACAGTGAAAATGACGTGGTGGGAGGTATATAGGTCACGATTTTCTAGCGGTTTTAATAGAACCGCTAGAATCTGTTACACTGCACCACCTCCTGTATTTAGCCATGTGTCACAACTCTTCGGGAAAAATAAAAACTTTCTAGCGGCTTCTCTTAAAACCGCTAGAAAGTTGGTTGAATTACTAGTGGTTTAGCAACTGCTAGAAAATGGAACGACGATTTGCATTCTCTAGCGGTTCTATCATCTAAACCGCTAGAAAATAAACGCTAGAACTTTGACACAAATTTCGTGCTGAAACGCGTAAACTATTCTGGCAGTCAATTTCTAGCGGTTTGCTTCTAACGGCTAGAAAATTATGGGGCCCATGTTGTTTCTGGTCAAAGCGCTACTAATTTCTTGCGGTTTGTTTGAAAATCGCTAGAAATGTATGAATTTGTAGCCTTTTTGTTTAACCGTTAGAAATGTTCCGCAGGTAATTCTACTTTTTTTTTGTAGTGATAAAACTTGGGTAAAATCATAGTAGACCGAAACTTTATCTATTAAATGGATGGTTTGTTGGTAGAATAGAGATATATTTATTGACCTAACATTGTCCACTAAAGGTTTTGGTTTTCAAAATGTAATCTTTTTTAACTAAAGCAAGAGATTGTGAAAGTTTATTAAAATTATAAAGTTTGTTTTGACTTAAGAAAGCTTAATCAATATTTTGTAAACCTTGGATTAACATACGTTGTCATTAAAACACTTAAAGAAGAGCTTCAAGTGTGTTTTATGAAGTATAATAGTAAAAAATAACTTAGGATCTTTTTTTGTCTTTAAGTCAAGTTTTCAAATTCTCTTTTAATTCCTTGTTTTCAAACACATTTCTTTTAAATAATATACTTTTAAAATGATTTCACTTAACCTAATCATGGACACGATTGTAATTTACAACTTGTTTAGCTTTAATATATGAGAGAACGACTCTTTTTATATTATTTACGACTCGTGCAGTGAAACTAAATAACAAAAAACCCTCCAAAAGTGGTGGGTTGGTTTGAAGGAAATAAGGACAGTTTGGATGCGGTTCTTTTTAACTTGGATTCGCCAACCTGTAGCTCGCCATGGATTAACCTGTTTTGTTTTATTTTGTTTTATTTTTAATTTTTTAAACAATTTTTTTAATTTTAACAAGAAATTTTTTTTATCTTTTTCAATCAATTTGCATATAGTTTTGTATTTTGTTAGAAACTTTGATTTTAAATTTGATTTACCAGTTTATATTTTAAGTTTTGAGATTAATTTAATTATATAATTATATGAAAATATAAAAACAAAAAGAATTCAATTCATAAAAGTTTGTAACTTAATTTAAAATTAAAAAAAATATATGTAAAAATGTAAATTAAAAATAGAAACAGATGAAGGTTTGTAGGCCAACCTACAAACCTATTCCTTGGCAGGGAGGTCTGGCCAAATCTTAGCTTGGCAAAAGGTGGTTTTTTTAGGATTGACTCAATCACCTCTTGATGCTACTTTCTATTTAACTTTCTTTTCATTTCTCTTAATTTATTATCTCTATTATTTGGTTAATATCCAATGGTTGAAATTTAATATATAATAACAATATTATTATAATATTAAATAATAAAAATACACATAAATAACTTTATCCTATATATAATTAAATTATTGTATTATGATATTATTATAATCAGATTGCAGAGGACAGAAAATAAAAAAAATGTTAATAAAAATCTATAGAAGTGATGTATGCATATTAATTTCTAATTGCTTATATATATTTTTTGTTTAATTAATATTATAATAATATTGTTATAATATATTAAATCTCAACAATTGGATATTAATCCAATAGTAAAAATAGTAAATAGAGAGGAAGTGAAGGGAAAATTAAATATAGACATTTTTCTCTGCTATAAGGCCATTGGCTAGCATACGTGTTGTTAAATTGATGGTTGCGAGTTTAACATGATTACATGATTTCTCTTTCTCATACTTCTATCATATATTTTGCCCTCTTGATTTTTGTGATATTCCATTCTTGAAATATATTATTATATTAATTAGAAATAAAATATTATTATATCAGTTTTTTATACACATATTAACAACATGGAGGATGAGAATGAATCTCCATAAATTATGTAATTTGGATTAAAGTATAAATTAATTTTATGTAACATATAAATAAAAATATAAAAATATAATGATAACTTAACTGTTACCATCTCTCTCCTATTTTCTTTAAACAAGCAAAGGGGTAATCTTCTCCTTTGCATTAAATATATCAAATAATTTGATTTACATTTTAGTTCATCTAGTTAGTGATTTTACATATGATTACTTATTTGGTAAGTTATTTATTTCTCAACGTAAATATTGTCATATATTTTGTTTATTTTTCAATAGTTTTTTCATAGATTTCTTAATTGGGAGAAAGAACCAAACTATAATATAAAATTCTTTTGCAGGCAAGAAAAAAATTTATTTAATTACAAAAAATGTGACCCACTTCAAGTCCTTTATCATTCGTAGAAAAATGTCAAGCTTCTTCTTTTTTGATATAAGTCAAATTGATGTTATAAATATATACATTTTCATTTTTGTTTCTTGAATTGGTGTGTGTCTAATTTTTCCTCAAGGAAAGTAAGACAATAATAATAGAAATTAGATTATTTATTTATAAGTTTCAGAAAATACAGTAGATGAATCATATAATTTGTTGCAAATTTTATTACATATATTAATGATAGTTTAATTGATGAATTTTTTTACATAAAAAAAAATTAATCATGGTTCTATTTTGTGACAACACCATGGGATCTGCTTCCACAAACCTTGGAATTTAAGACTGGTATCCTTCTCCTTTGATTGACTCCATTTAAGGCACGTGCTTAAATGATTACCCCGGCAAGGCTGTATCCCAAGCCCACGGTACATTTTAACACAAGCTATGCCCTTTCAGGGAAATAAAAGCCGCGTTTTGCTAACATGCGCCGGTGGCTCCTCGAGTCTCCAGTTCACATTCGCTGTCCATCCGTCTTTGTATCTTTTGCCTCTGGGATTTTTAGGGACTTTCTTTTTTGGAGTACTTAAAATAAATACGCTGTTTTGGGGGAGTCACGGAAATGGGAATTTTAAGTGAGAGAGAGGTGTATAGAGAGAGGAACGCCACCAAGAAGAGCAAAACACGAGAGAGAAAGAGAAAGAGGGACAGTGACAGAGAAGGGAAGAGAAGGGATTGGGTTGTTTTTCAGTTTTAGATCAGCTCCTTTTAGGCAAAAAGAATTGGTATTATTTTATAAATATTATAATTGTTTATTATAAATTATTTCTTTCCCAAGTTGGAAGAGAAGATCAAGGAGAGGGGCGTGGGGTGTGTGCCTCTGTGAGATCTCTGTGGCTGTGTTTATAAATATACATATACTATTGCTTCTTGGCTAATATACTAGCACCGAGAAGGTCTATTCCCTTCCCTCTTTCTTCTTCCTTTGGGAAACGAAGAAAATTTTGGTTTAGCAGATCAAGAATCCACAGGAACTCCAATGGGTAGGTCTTAGTTTTCTGTTTTTCTTTTCCCCTTGTTTAGTTTCTCGCGCTCTATTCTTAGATTTTCTCTTCGTTTCTCGGTTTTGGGCGTCCATTGTATTTCTGTTTTTCTTCTTTCTGGGTTCTGTTAAATGTTTCTGTTCGCTTTTGAGGAGGTGAGCCGGAGGAATTGGGACACGGGTTCTGGTTTGTTTTCTTTATTTCATCTATTCCTGTTATGTCCTCAATTACGTGACGGCGTTTCTGGGTTTCCGTTTTTGGTTTCATAAATCTAAGGCCTTCTTTGTGAAATTTTCTCGGATTTTTCTTTCTTTGTTGGTTATCTCAGGCTCTTCTTCTTTCTGTGTTGAATTAAGCCTTCTTTTTCGGTTGGCCTAATAGGTTCTGTTTGAGGATTCCTTCTTTTTTGAGTCTATTAACTGATGAGCACGCCACAAGGCTTACTGGTACTAATCTTCTTCTTCTTCTTCTTTTTTTGGGAGGGGGGGGGGGTGTGGTGTGGGAGGGGGGCTCTCTGGCTTTCTTCTTTCCACGGTTATTCTTTGTGTTTTTCCATCCCTTTACGGTTGGTCACTTATCTTTCATTCGCCCACTTCTGCTTTATTATTTATGAGATAATTTCCCAAAGAGGGTTTTTAAGGCCTTCTCTGTACTATAATAATATTATGAGCTCCACTTGAACTTTTTCTTCTCATTGGCTATGGAGCTTGTGTGTCTATTTTCTCTCCTCTGATTGGTTCCTGTTTCCTTTCATAGCTTTTATGTCCGAGGTCAACACAAGCTTCTCTCACTATATGGATGATGAATATGAAAAACTCTTCAGAAGAATGAACCCTCCCAGGTACGAATATGTTTCCATGGCATTTGATGAAAGGAAGAAATACAAAGGCAAAAAAAAAAAAAAAAGCTCTTTGTTTCAATGGTTTCATCCTTACATCCTTCTTGTCATGTCAGGGTTGTAATTGATAATGAAGCTAGCAAGAATGCTACTGTTATACGGGTACTGTTGTTTTTTATTTTTTATCTTCCCTTCTTCTCTGGATCCATTGTGTGTGTGTGTGTGTGTTTCAATTCAAACTTATGATTGGGAAATTTCCCTAATAAAGTCTTGCTTTAATTTTGCAGGTTGATAGTGCAAACAAGCAGGGAATACTTCTTGAAGTCGTACAAGTCCTCACTGATCTAAATCTTATTATAACTAAGGCTTACATATCTTCTGATGGCGGATGGTTTATGGATGGTAATAATTTTTTTTTTTTTTTCCGCTTGAGTAGTCTTATTAGTCTTTTATTATATACATGATACCCGTCATTTCTGTTCCCCCCAAAAGAAATCTGAATGTCTGTATTCCTCCTTACCAGTTTTTAATGTCACTGACCAACATGGAAATAAGGTCACAGATGAAGCTATTCTGGATTATATTCGAAAGGTTAGTTGCATATTGCTTGTTTTCATCACTTTTCTCTGCTTTTTCATTGTCTTGCCCACTGATTTGTGCTTGACTGGCTTCAATTAAATATTAGTCTCTTGGGCCTGAATCATGCTTTCCAACCATGAGATCTGTTGGAGTCAAGCAATCCATGGAGTACACTACAATTGAGCTAATGGGAACTGATAGGCCGGGATTGCTGTCAGAAATGAGCGCGGTTCTGACTGACCATAAATGCAATATAGTGAGTGCAGAAATCTGGACACATAACACCAGAGCGGCAGCTGTTATGCATGTAAATGATGAGGAGACCGGTTCTGCCATTAATGATCCAGAGAAGCTAACCTTGGTGAAGGAGCTTCTCTGCAATGTGCTTTGTGGTGGAAACAGGAACAGAGGAGCTAAGACTGAAGTCGCTGATGAAGTTACCCATACTGAGCGAAGGCTTCACCAGATGATGTTTGCTGATAGGGACTATGAGCGGGCGGATGATCACAACAATAACAACAACACTGGATTTGACGAAAAGCAAAGACCAAATGTTAATGTTGTTCATTGGAGTGACAAAGATTATTCTGTAGTTACTATCCGATCCAAGGATAGGCCGAAGCTTCTCTTCGACACAGTTTGTACTTTGACAGACATGCAGTATGTGGTTTTCCATGCTAATATAGATGCTGAGAGGCCAGAAGCATATCAGGTAGCTATCTCAATCTGCACTGTGAAGCTTAATTCGGCTTCACTAAGAATATTGGCTGACTGCATTTTTATATGGTGGTTGTATCTGCAGGAGTACTACATCAGGCATATAGATGGGTCCCCTGTGAAATCAGATGCAGAAAGGCAAAGAGTTATGCAGTGTCTTGAAGCTGCGATTGTGAGACGAGCATCTGAGGTGAGGGGTACACTGCTTTATATTACTGCATATGAGATGTGATTGCCTGGTTTAGTTTTGTTCGGAAGCTTAATTACCTAATAATTCATGGCTTCATTTGTTTTTGCTGGACGTAGACGGTCTTGAGTGTGGTTGAATTGCAGTTGTTGAACTTTAGATCCTATGGCCTGAAGTGATTTTCTTATGAAGTCTCCGTGAGAAATTACTTTCTTTTGGGAGGAGGAAGAACATGGAGATAGTTCTCTTATTATCAGATTTTTCAATAAAGAACATAACAACCGGACCACAACTGAAAATTACATTTTTGACTCGTTAAATCCCCCCCCCCCCGGGTCATTATACGATTCTATTGCAGAAACCTAATAGCAGAGGGAAGCAAATTAAATTTGTCTTCTTTTTTTCTATCTGATTACGTTCTATAATTGTGACCTGTTTGTCCTTTGTTGTTTGATTCTGCCGTATTTATTTATTGGTCAACAAGTCTTCTGCCCCTTAAATAATCTTTCTTCATTATTCTACACAAACTGCCAGTTATTCTACACAAACTGCCAGTTAGGCAATTTTGGCGTGTCTCTCTTTTCTCTTGTCACATCTGGTTTCTTCAATATATTTCATTAGTTCTCAGACCTCTAATTTGTTTCTATCCTCCTCCTGATTCAGGACTTGAAGCTGGAGCTCTGCACCGACGATAGAGTTGGTTTACTATCCGATGTAACTCGTATCTTCCGCGAGAACAGCCTCACAGTTACGAGAGCAGAAGTGACCACGAAAGGAGGCAAAGCAGTAAATACCTTCTATGTTCGTGGAACCTCAGGATGTCCCGTCGATTCCAAGACCATAGAATCTATTCGTCAAACCATAGGAGACAGCATCCTTAAAGTTAAGGGCATCCCTTCTGAGCCAAAGCCGCCTGTTCAAGATTCCCCTACAAGGTTCCTCTTTAGTGGCCTCTTCAAGTCCAAGTCCTTTGCTAACTTTGGTTTGGTCAAGTCTTACTCTTGAAGAGGCATTCTCAAGTAGGCAGTGCCTATGTAACACCACATGCGATTCAACAAGGCCCCGTGGTTCAGAAGCCGAACACATTTGTGTCGCCAAACTTACTGGGATCGATCGGATCCGATTGGATCAGCTGTGGAATTACGCGTTAGGGACAGTCTGCTCATAGAAAGATCATTTCCTAAGTAACTGGTTCTATCCATGGTCTTGTACAGTGAAAGCCTGAAGATGTGCAAAAACTGAGTCAGAGGAACCTTAGAGGAAATGTAACATGTAGTTTTAGAGGGGGAGGAAAATATGGGAATATCAGACAAGGGGATGAAGCTTGTTGGGGAGAGGGAATGCCTTGTAAATTGGTTTCCATGGTCAATGTGGGACCCAGGAGTTTGGGGTGGTGAGAAAATTCAAAGCTGTGTTTCAGGGGTAATACAGTATTTGTACATATATCAGTTCATCGTCTGCTGCTATTATCATCATTTCATTTCACTATTTTTTGTGTTGGTCAGACCCTTGTCTCCTTTTTCTTCTTTGGAAGAGTTTAATTGTCATTTTCAGTCTCATAATGTGGGCTTGATGGAAATTACCTGCTAATCCCGGGCATTGGGAAGTTGAAAACCTCCGCCAAAAGCTGTCATTTTCCGTTGAAAAAGGCAGACCCTTGACCATAAGACCAAGCGCCGGAAGTTCCCGCGGAATCACAAAAGAAACTGTAGAAATTCAGTGTACGTAAATGAGTACATATAAATATAAACATATACTACTGTGTGTGTGTCTCTGTGTGTGTTTTTGTTTTGGGGGGGGGGGGGGGGTTGTATTATTGGGGAGAGACAGGCAAGTGGCGGCTGAGGACTTGCGAAGTCATAGGTTAGAATAGGGGAGGAAATGGGAAGGGAGATTGAGAGGAATGATTCAGTGATGGAGACAGGCACTAAGGAGCAAAGTTTGGTGGCATCCTTCAATTCCTCCACTTAATATCCAATCAGGGGACAAAGCCCTCTTCCCCAAGAATCTGGAATTTTCCTGGATTCCACCGATCACTTTTCCAACTAAATATTCTTACGCTTTGTGTAAGGTTCCCCCCCCCCTCCAAATTAATTAATTTATTAAAATTAAAAGATAGTTAAATTAATTGTTTGTAATTAGTATGTCAAAAATTCATTCTCCTCCTATAAAATTAGCTTAATTATTATTGACTTTTTTTAATAAAAATTGAGTATTATTAATTAAAGGTATTTTGGTGAAAAAATTATTTAATGTAGTTGATAATATATGGATTAGCGTTTACATAAAGAAATAAAACAAAGCACTCAATTTTTTTTTTTTTAATATTTAGGACTTAGTTCTCAGTATAGGAGTTCTTTTAGTATAACTGCTTGGTCCTTATTGTAAAAACCTTTTCCATTTGTTCCAGATATTTATTTATTTTTCCTTCTAATACCCTTTGTTTATTTGTTATTTTATCCATTGACTAATTTTCACCTTAGTACTCATGATTGATATTTGTCTTGGTTGATAGCAAATGATATTGCTTCTGTCTAACTCTCACCGTAAAGTATAAACTGGAAAATTTATTAATTTTGATTCTAAAAGAACTATAATCCTATAAAATAATAGAAGACAAAAGGTAAATATATTTGTGAGGGATATTATTATTACTATTAAATATTTCGTCATTAATTAATTACTCTCTTTTGTGAGACCCAGTCTGAACCAATAAAGCAGGAAATGCTATATATGAGGAGGGCCAATCCTAGAATATAGATCTCTCTTTTCATACACTCTTTTGAAATGGTCCAACCTAATAATAGCGCACTAAGAGTCCAATTCACCCCCCATTTTTAACCTGTCCTTTTGACCAAACAGGCCAAGATGTTGACTCTTCTGAATGACAATGTCCCAACCCAAAAATGGGTGTAAAGGCAAATAACAATGACAAGAATAGCACTTCTACAATCCTTAATATAAGATCTATTTAACTAATTTAATTAGATTAAAAGAATTAGATAAGTTAGTTAATTATAAAAAACATGAAATATTTTTTCTAAAACATCATAATCATTTTTTCTAATATCCTTCCTCCATCTTTTACTTGATTATGCTTGAGGGAGTATCAATAGAGGTAATTTAAGAAAAAATAATAAATATAAGAAATATGTCTTATATTTAGAGCTAAAATTAACTTAACAATTAGGTCCTATATTAAGAACCAGAGGAGTAATAATTAATAATGCGTTTCTTTCTCCTTTTTTTATAATAATTCCGATATGTAATATAAGAGCAAAATAATTAATTTAAAAAAATTAAAAAAATTATTTAAATTGATTAATTATGACAAATATGTTCTCAGTTTTCTAAACTATCTTTTTTAGTGATATGCATAAGAACTATCACTTACTTTACTGGAAAATAGTATTTGAATCATTTATGGCCTTCCACACCATGATTGGCACATCATCTGGGGTTTTGACACGTGGGTTCTTGTAGTGCAATTATTATTATTATTGGATAAACTGTTGATAATGGGAACACATATAAGATTCCTTTATTTGTGCTTTTGTACCTCAATCTAATAGAGTAATAGTGGAAGCAATACACACGCACATTAAAGAAATTCTTCTCATTTGAAAATTTATAATCACATATACATTATCCTAATTAAACTTTTAAAGCAAACCAATGAAAATAGCCCAGAATTTTCCTCTGTAAAATTAGATTTAGTAGTATATAGTTAGTTGCGTTTATCAATATTTTTCATCATTATAAAGCTGCAAATACTATGTTGTTCGTTGGACCAAAAAAAAAAAACTATGTTGTTCATATAATTTTATGGAACATGCTAAACTCTTTATTATAAGGATAAGAGGGAAGTATTAATTATTTCATCTAATCCTCAATACAAGAACTACTTAATAAATTTGGATAAATTAAGAAATTATAATAAATAAAACATAATTCTTATAAAGTATCCCTTACGTAACATTAAATTATATATCATTTTATAAGTTAGGTGAAATAGTTTGAAAAACTGATAAATATGAGATACATAATAAATTCACATATTATATTCTTAATTAACTTTTGTACTAGAGAAATGAGGGAGTACTGATAATTTTTTTACATCAATTAAAATGAGCCTCTGTAAAACCCTTAACCTTAAAAACATTATACTCATCATAAAACCTCTACTATGGTAGAAAAGGAGAGCTGTTAAAACGAGCTACCATAGTAGAAGGAAAATTTCATATTTTTAGAAATTGACTTTCAAGCTCGGGTCAACCCGTAAGACGTTGCATGCAACTAAAATAATCCATTCATATCCACTGGGCCTCCGAGCCTCCGGCCCGAGGAACACATACATCAAAATCAGCCCACCTAAATAGTTTTCAACCATATAATCCAGAGTTCATCAAACACTAGCAATGGCTTCCGGCCAACCAAAATAAGGAGATAACGTATCCTCCAATTTACAATAGATCAACAATCAAAATATCACAAAAGACCCTAACTGTGGCAATATACAACAGATCATACATAGACAAAAGCAAGAGGCCTACAGCTAACCAAGCTCAAGTCTCTGCGTCTCTTCCCGAAGGCGCACGCCTAGAACCTTCTCCTGAAAACATTGTAAACCACGGGGTGAGACAAAGTCCCAGTAACCAACCTTTCCAATACTAGGTACTACTAAATAGGTGCTCGTGAGGTGTCAAGTGGGGCAGTTCACAAATAATATAAAACGATAGCCACAACAATTCATGCAAGTGCAATGATGCAATCCCATCAACCAAATCCCTCACTTTGGGGGATTTCCAGGAGTCGAAGCCGGCCTATCCCTCACTATGGGGGACGTAAGGAGCCATAAAAGGCCTATCACTCACTTTGGAGGACGTAAGGAGCCAAAAGGCCTATCCCTCACTATGGGGGACGTACTAAGCCAACCATCATGCATTAATGGAGGCCTTACCACGTGGTAGTAACTATCAAACTCTCACCAAATCCCAAATCATGCATCATGCTCAAATCATAATCAAAGAGTAATAATCATTTCACAATTAACCTCATTCAGTGGCATATCTTTCACAACTTCAAGATTTCATTCATCATCAATCAAAACCCCACAAGACGGTTTTCCTTTTTATACACAACATATAGTTTGAACACAATTACTACTTGGAGCACAAAACACAAATCTACTCACAATACCACAGAAGCAAGTACTAAGGATTGGAAAGTGGTTACCTCTCGCCTGAGCAAGGAACAACAAACCAACGATGTGGCCCCATGCACCACCAAGACTCACAACCGGTCTACACAAGCACACAAACACACAACCATCATATATTAGCTTTCAAACTAATAATGTGGCCAAAACAACACTTGGGGACACAAAATTTCTATCTCCCACCGAACTCTACCCAACTCAAAGGGTATAACTATCAAGGCAACACTCCAAAGTCATACCAATCCATAAAAACCTTAATTCCTTTCCAAACATCAATTAAATTCATAACCTCAAGGACCCACTATAGACTTCTACACCCAAACATCCCATTTGAGCAATTAAGGTTCCAACAACAAATCTAAACCGATTAAACATCCATTTTAACCCTCCTTAACATAACCCAATTCACAAAACTCAGAATCAACCTCTACATTGTCATCCTCAATCCCAAATCATCCAATTCCATAAACCCTAGCTCCAAAAATTCAAGATTCTTTAAATCCAAGAAAACTACACCGATTAAATACTTAAACTAACCCAATGCAATCAATTAAACTCAAAACAATCGGTCAAAAACCTCAGTTTCATCACAACTTAGAAAATCCTAGGGTTCCACCAAAAATCCTCAGAAATTCCAATCAAGAAGATAGATTAGAGGTTAAAATCACTTACTTGAGGTAATGGATCCTTAGAAATGTCTCCTCCAAGCCAAAAGTTCGAAACCCTAGCAGAGCTCCTCTCTCCTCCTTCAGATTTTTCTTATTTTCGCACGCTGAACCCTCCCGCGACTATATAGATTCGCGACCTTTCGCCGCGGCGAACTAATCCCGAGAGGGATTACTCGCCTGAAAACCTGACTTCGCCGCGGCGAAAGCTTCCCGAGAGGAAACTCTCGCTCGCCCAGAAAACATTCGCCGCGGCACACCCCTACCTTCGCCGCGGCAAAACCTTCCCGAAAGGGAAGCCTCGCTCACCTGAACAACTTCGCCGCGGCCAAACCTTCTCGAGAAGACACTCCCCTCTGAAACTCCCGGTGCGCCGCGGCGAACATACCCTGAGAGGAGTACGTTCACCTATTCCTCCAACAAACCTCAAATTCAACCCAAACACCCAGATCAAGATCAAATCACTAATCTATCCTCAAAATCAACCCAAAAGAGGCTATTAAAACCCAATAAAAACTTAGGATGTTACAGCCTCCCTCATTAGAAATTCAGCCACATCATATGACTCGTCCCAACATGATTTTATTTTTATTTTATGCAATACACATATACACACAAACA